CTTTCCTAGAGAGTGGCGGATGAGTTTGGATTGACGACTTGTCTGGAGCTATTCCTTACCCGTTTCTTGTGGAATGATAGCGGTCTTGAGCTTTTTGTCTGCCACGGATGGCGATGGATTATTGGGGTTTTGGAGGTGGTCTATAAAGCACTCTATTGGAAGTTCTTTTCGACAGTTCGCTTCGATAAGGCATGACGAGTTTGGCGGATAAATCAGTCTTTACTTTTCTCCTAGGAGGCGTTTCCCGCTCCTACAGCCTGATCAAGCTGGGGAGACGTCTAGGGATTTACATAGCGGAGGAGATTGTGAGTCCTAATTTTTATGCTTATCTTGATAGTTGTATTACTGAACCACCACAAGAGTACAACTACATGCATATATGGAGTCACGCTAGGGGGACCTATGTTTCTAGGATGACCAAGGAGAGTGCCTTCAGATCTCCTATTTATCGGTTGATCCACCAATTGGTCACTTATATTATTTTTCACCGCGAGGAGTGTGCCAAGATTCCTTGAGGTGACTTCTTCTATATATGGTGTGTCACTCGGACTGAGGTTTTCCTTCATCTTCCCTTTTCTCTTGCTATGTATTTATATTGTATGGCTCTAAGTTCCATGCCTTTGAGCAGGATTTGCGGGGTTCATTGGGTCACTCGATTGGCCCTATCTTATGAGGTTGACACCAGCGGGATGGTTTCTATTCCTATCAGAGACATGAGTACTACCGCTCTAGGGAAGATACGAGTATTGTTTCGAGGAGTGGGGTTGCAGTAGAGGATTTCAGACAACGATATTATGGAGCCGATCTGACAGGTGGAGCCGAAGGACATCCCTAAGCCTGCCTTTGAGAGTCGCTAGAGACTTAGGCATGCCGAGCCCAATCAGCCAGAGCCAAATCTACGTGATATGATGCAACGTCTGGATGCTGCACAGGAGGAGCGTCGTTGGATCATGGCTATGTTTGTTGGGGTAATGCAACATTTGGGGATGGACCATCCACATTTCCTCAGGCGGCTCCTGCTGTTCCACCACCTAATCAGCCGAGAGGTACCGTTCATGATGGTGCTGGCACTTTAGGCACACATCCCCTGGATACTGATGATGATAGCAAGGAGGGCACCGGGGATGAAGCGGGTAAGTATGAGAGTGGCGAGTAGGTTGATGTTTTGGGTTGTATTTTGATAATTATTCTTACTTATTTTGTAGGATATATTTCTGATATTGAAATGCCCGTATTTCCTGCTATATTAAGTCATAGTTTGTAATCACTTGGTCAACTATTGTAATCTTTATATAAATGAATAAGAAATGATTATTCATATATTTATATGCTTACGTGTCATATAGGATATTAGGTGTATTTAATAATAAACTAAATCAAATTTAAAATACGCGTTAGGATAAATAATCTTAATACGTCATAAGGATTCCAGAGATATAAGGAAAGTTCAAATCCAACTTCATATGAAGAAGTTATGCTTCTTAGAAGTTTCGTGATTAAACCGACACGTCTCTACGTATCGTAAAAAGTAGATTTTTGATGAATTACTTTTTAGCCTAAGAGATCTAAACGAAAGTAACAACAGTCGTTAAACCAAGAGCATGCATATAGACGAATGTCCAACTCTGCCTTTGTGAGAGGAAGTTATGATTTTTCTAAGATTCAACATAGCAGTCTTCTGCTTAAAAATAAAATTTTAGAATGGTCGACTTTTAGCCAAAATAATCTAAACGAGAGTTGAAGATCTAGTTAATAGGAGTTCAACGATAAAAAGTATGTTGAAAACGGACTCCGCATGAGAGAGCTAAGTTTTTATACAGGCTTCAATAGTCTAAGCCAGTGTGAAAAAATTAAATTCAAAACTAGTCGACGGAGTCTAAATGAAAGTTGTAGATCCCGCCGAGAGCTTTCCGAGGATATAAATAACGTCAAAAATGGAGTTCGTATGAAGAAGTTATGCAATTTTGAAAATCTGAAAAACAGCGAGCGTGTGCATGCTGCCCAATGGGGTTCTAAATGCAGCCACACAGCGCCACTCGTTATAGGACACGTGTCAACTCTTGGATGGAGACACGTCAACCACGGAGTGATAGGATATGCCACCAAGTGACTTGATATGCAACCAAATGACAGGATATGCCACTAAATGACAAGATATGCCGTTCAAGAGGTGGATGTGCCATTCAAGAGGAGGATGCGCCATTGTGGAGCTTGATGCTCCACTCGGGTGTCAAGTTCACTAGGATGCTCAAGATTGTCCAAATGTTGATCAGAAGAATGAAGATGCTCATATAGGATGTTCCACGTGGCAGATGCGTCATCATGACATGTGTTTTGGTTTATACTCATGAGGTTGAAGATTCTAGAAGCGTCCACATGACATTATGTGATTGGTTGGAAATTAGGGTGTCCCATAAATGGGCTAATTATGATTTGACCTATCAGAATTAGGGTTTTCCATGCTTGCCTATAAATATGTTCATATCTCAATCATTGTTAGTTGCACATAAATTTCAAGAGAGCAATCAGTGTAAGGTTGAGAGCAATCAGTAGTTAGTAAGCAAGAGGGATTCTTTTGTTTTGAGAGCTCAAGTGAGGTGTAACTTTTGTGTGTGGTTGTAATTGTTCTTGGAAGTTAATAAAATCTCCACTCTCTCGTTTGCCCGTGGATGTAGGTCACCTTGACCGAACCACGTTAAATATTGTGTTAACTTGATTTACATTTTCAAAAGTTTAATTTCCACACGTCACCGAAGTTTGTTTGACATTTATATGAAGTGTTTAACTTGTTTTGTTGTCATCCCAATAGTGGTGGTGGTAGGTGGTGATGACAGTAGCGGTTGGTGGTCAGTAGTAATAGAGGTGAGTGTTGGTTTTCTGATAAGTAAATGAAGTATTTTGTAATCTACCACTTCCTTGACGAAAAGGAATGTTTTTCATCAAACTTTGGAAAGAATCCATTCCCCCGTCTAAGACCAATCAAACGAATGAATTCGAGGGAATTGAAATCATTTTCTTTCAAATTTCATTCATTTTCTGCCGACTAAACGCGCTATCGGACAACACAAACTAATAGGATAGATGGGGGTGCATGCAACACGAGTACATGTCAGGCAAGCAACTATTTGGCATAGTGACGTTTTGGCCAAAAATAGGAAGTTACATGTCCTTTCATGCAGTACCGACCATTGTCACTCATGCGTGTCAATCCATGTGTTTAGAAGGTCTTTTGCAGACAATATAACTCGCAGTATACTCCTTATCATATCCTGTCCAACAAGACAATACTAGCGAATTTTGCCATCATCATATTATAAAAAGGTTCACACAAACTATATATTTAAATAAAAAAGTGGCTCGAGGAACAATCTTATGGGCGCTAATAATTAAAATTATCATAGACTTTATTAATACAAAGAATGTGACAAAGGTTCTTGTGGCTTTGTCTTTGGCAATTACTTCATTGCATGCTTATGCTAGAGGAACCTCCCCTACATCCATCCTCAATAAATTAAAGTAAAAAATCAATTTGTTAAATTAATTTTTTATGCTAGAGGAACCTCCCCTACGTGTAGACCTGACAATGGGGCGGGTTTGGAGCGAATCGACCTTGATCCAAACCTTTTTAACAAATTCCAAAATCCGATCCAAACCCGCTCCGTAACCCACAGGGTTTTGAATAATCAAACCCGTACCCTTATCCACCGAATCAACAGATATCCAAACCCGCCCTGTAACCCGTAGGTTTTTTTGAATAATCAAACACATTTTACTTTAATCATAAAATCACATTTATTAAATAAAACAAATGTTGATTTGGAAAACACATTATGTACTCGAAGACTTTCGATTGGAATTAAAATTATTATTGTAGTTACTTCCAATTAGTTTTTGATCGTCGATTGGATTGATAGAAAATAGCAGTCAAAAACTTTTTTCCAGTTGATAAATGAATTTATTGATTTATAAATGGAATTGGTGATTGCATGATGAAATATAAATGAAATAACATCATGATTCTTGAGAGAAGACTAAAAGTCTAGAAGTTAAGTCCTCAAGTCCTATTTAAAACAGTTTAATATTTGGCATTCTCTCTTTGAGCTTTCAATTGGAATTTAAAGTAAACTTTAGGCAGTATAAAATATAAATGTATAATTCTAAAATTTATATGGGGCGGGTTATAAATGGAGCGGATCGGTGATGATCCATACCCGACCCTTTTAATAAAAGGGTTAGCGGGTACGGATCGTTAACGGGTAAACGGATCAAAAACTATGTTCCAAACTCATATAATTGTTAAGGGTTTGGATCGGATCAGGGTCAAAATCCGCTTCATTGCCAGGCCTACCTACGTGTTTAATAAACATGCCAATTTAACTATATAATTCATAGGAAAGAAGATCGAGGGTATCTAAGGAATTTATTCCAATTATCAGATCAACTTCGTATGATAGTACCCTTCGACGAGACATGAAGACTAAACATATATTTTAAGAAAAAGAATATGGCTTTATTTTTCTTTTCAATTTTTTAATGTGTATGTATTAACGTAATAATTCTATACTGTAAAATATATATATAACCATAATTGTGATGTATTTAGTCCTCGTTAAAATTTGTACGCCAACAATATGCGTAGGAAATATAAAAATATTATTTTATTTATGTACTGAAAGAGCCATAATTATCGCACCAAATACAAATATAATGGTTTGGCTGTTCAAAAAAAATATAAACCTAAAAAACATTATTTTTATTCCAAACGTCATAAATAAAGTTTTTTTGCAAACTAACTATTCTACATAATAAATCGAAAAGAAAATAGTTACATACTAAAAAAAATGGTTAGAATCACTCGTTCTAATCCACTTTTATCGGGGCCTTTGTTGCATCTTAAAAATATAACAAGTAGATTGTAACCAAACTGTAAAGATGATAATTACAAAAGATTTATTTTCCTAGTTAATTAACCCTAGTTAGAGTTACAAAGATGTAGACACTTATGCCCTTTCAACAAAGCGTATGAACACACTTTCCAATTCCGGAGGTTTGAAGTAATCTCTAACGTCATTACAGTGGCTTCTGGAAATCGCCTTTCTTTTCCTCGGAGCTCCCGGGCATTTCAACAAACACGGAATCACTGATTCCGGAGATGTCGGAGTCGTACAACACTCCTTTGCCTCGTCATCATCTTCATGTTTTTTTTCGGTTTCCTTTTTTGTGTAAATCGGCTTCAATGGAGTCATGAACTGGATTCCGGCGATAACCCATTTCTTGGATGGTGGTTCTGATTCCATTGTTTCTTCTGCAATTCCGATGTCAATACCGAAACCTGAGTTGAGCTTTAAACAAGAAAAGGAACGGAATCTGGAGGAAAGATTTAGGAAAAGAGATGAGGGGAGAAAGTGAAGAGATGAAAGGGGAAGATGAGAGTGATTTTTCTAAACTGGAATAGAAATTGACGACTGATGGAGAGTTGCTTTGCTTTATAAGTAAATGATTGAGTTGATGAGAGGAAAAAGATGGGAAGTGTGGGATGGATGTGTACGTGTTTGATTTTATTAATAAATCATATTCAAGTGGTGACTTTTTGAGTATTTAACTTCACATATTCTAAAATTGTTTTAAATAATACTTCACATATTCTCCCTACATTTTCACCTTTTGACATACTCCACCCTTGACTTTTGTTATTTAGGCCCGACCGTGAGTGAGGGAAAATGGGTGAGGGAAAATGAGAGGGGAGTCTATCCCTCACTCTTTCTCTTTGTGATTGGTTAGTATTTTTTTCAGTTTTTTTAATATTTATTAAATTATATACCTATTAAAATTTTATAAAAGCTAAATCGAAATTTATGGTTTTAATTCCCTACAAAATATGTATAATATTTGTATGAAATATATTTAAAAAATAAAATAAAAGATTCTTCTCATAAACACCCTGGGATTTGATAAGGAAAAGAAAAGTAAGGGAGAAATTGACATGACAGACAAAAAGTGAGCGATTCTTCCCACACACACCTCGATCTGTTTGACCATCAATCTTTTTATTTTAAATTCAACCACAGTGAGTTTATCTTTTGTTTATCTATAAAAACACTAGATAAAGCTTTGAAGTTTACTGACATGATAATATCTTTTTATGAAATTTGGTCTGATATTAAAACAAAGTTCTTATTTAGTATTACAATTTCAAACTTTCTCTTAGGCTTGTCACTAATATATTTGTTTACATAGTTCTATATATATAAAAATGCATTTAAAAGTTTGGAATTTGGGTATGAAATTGTAAGAAGAAACAAAAGATAGGGAATAATTATTAAAAAAGTAATAGTTGAAGGGTTAATCGTGGGGAAGTCATTTGTGATGAGTATTGAATGGAGGGATAAAAGGAACCCGAGGAAATCGTGAGCTAAGCAACGACGTGTAGTAGATTAATAGGGTATTAAATTTAAAATCGTGAGCTAGAGAAGATAAAGGTGCCCGTGAAACGTAGGCTGACCGCGGGCAGCACGCAGGAATCAGGGAAACACCTCCAATTGACTTTGGTTTTGGCGCCAAAGCACTCTATATTCCTTTTCGGCTGTATAAATTTACAACTTTGTCCTCACGTTTTAATGTCGTATCTCCACATTAGATCAGGTTGTACATCTTGCTTGTTAGTTGTACTATGGGTTTATAACCATCTTGATGTCAATTAATCTTGCCGTGGATTAACGAGATAAATCACAAATGTAAGTGTGAATTGAGTTGGAACCATATTTGAACTAGGTATATTGGATTTGGTTGTTGATATACACTTCTTAAAATTTTAACTTTTGATATTTTATTTATTTATTTATTTTGGTTTTAGTTCCATCTAATTTTGTTCCCTTGAACATTCCTGTTATGTTATTCCTATTTTGATCGGTAACATTATATTAATCAATTTTGTATGTATTATTATTGTTGTATTTCCATTGTAGATTGATTGTAAAGAATAACTTGTCTAATAAGTGTTAAATTTAAAAACAATTATTTTTTGTCTAATTGTTTTTTTGTTTGTCTGTCTTTTATCTGGATGTAAATAAATTATGTATATAAAGGTTATTATATTTTGGTCATTTTTAAAATTCAACCACTATATTTATAATATATCGGAAAGGAACAAAAAACATAAGTGTTCATTGATTTAGGTTTTTGTTCATTGATATCTGGTTTTCTTGTTTGTGAAATAGATCAAGGTCTTTTGTTAATCGTGTTTGTAATAGAAAGGAACAATAACATAGTCATTACACCAAACTACAACCTAGATCAATATATGGAGTAATTGACTCTTTAATATTTTAAAAATATTTTGTTTGACATTCTATAATAATTTAAAGTTATTAAAGTTATGTTTGTCAGGCTATTAGTTATATATATTTTTTTTAAATATACCTTTTATGGTGATTTGATTGGTACAGTTATTTTGTCACCAAATATTGTTTGTTCAAACTTAAATATCGTTTATTCAGAAAGTAAATATAAATGTTAAGAAGGGCGGATGAAATATATTTGTATTAAATGGTGATTTGATTGTGTACAGTTATTTTGACACCAAATGTTGTTTGTTCAAACTTAAATATTGCTTGTTCAAAAATATAAATGTTAAGGACAGATGATTTATATTTACTAATATGTTATCAAGTTCTTTCAATATGTTTTTGAAACTAAATCCAAATCTTAGTTAACATATAATTAAAGTTCCCAAATTTCATTGTACCCGCTGATTGGCCCCTACACATTGTAAAGGCTAACAAAGATTGAATTTCACTGTGTTTGATACAATTGAATACATTGGTATAAATACAAAGATGAATGAGAAATATACGGCACAACTCAACTACATACAAAAGACTAGGAAAGTAGAATAGACTAAATCAATAGAACTCCTACAATAACGGAAGTATTTTACACGTTGT